CCTTTCCTTTCCTTTCCTTTCCTTTCCTTTCCTTTCCTTTCCTTTCCCTTCTCTTCTCTTACTTTCCTTTCTTCCTTTTCTTTCCCTTCCCTCCCTCCCTCCCTCCCTTCCTTTCCTTTCTTTCCTTCCCTCTTTCCTTTCCTTTCCTTCCTTCCTTCTTCCCTTCCCTTCCCTTTCCTTTTTCCTGCCTTTCCTTTCCTTTTCCTTTCCATTCCTTTGTTATATCATAAATTATTTCTCTAGTTATAATTTGCAGAGATACGGAGAATCAAATTACACACGATCTCTCTCTCTCTCTCTCTCTCTCTCTCTCTCTCTCTCTCTCTCTCTCTCTCTCTCTTTCTTTCTCTCTCTCTCTCTCTCTCTCTCTCTTGCATTTTGAAATGAAAAGCAGCTGCTGGGAGCTGAAATAGGAGCGGGGAGGATTGAGCCACGATAGCAAGGGAAAGGTATTTGGCAAAACGAATTGATTTCAAAGTTTCTTGGGTTACAGCCCTTCTGGTTGTAGAAGGACTTAAGAAAAACCATCATTATGTGTGATCAGCAAGAAATTCCACTGAGCAGCTGTTAGGGGGGGTAGGAAGAAAGAAATTCCCCCAACTTTTCTTCCAAACTATGTCAGAACTATTTTTATTGGGAAAGTATCTTCTGTCAGTGCCTTTCTCATTCCTCAGTGCATTGATCGACAGAGTTGGAAAGGAACTTGGAAGTCTTCTACTCCAGAATTATCGTTTCCAAACAAGGCCGCTGTTAAGTGAATCATGTCTGATATTAGGACCTTTTTTTTGCCACGGTTGTTAAGTGAATCGCTGCAGTTGTTAATTGAATCAAAAAGTCATTAAGTGAATCTGGATTCCCCCATTGACTTTGCTTGTTTGACGTCAGGTGGGAAGATTGCAAAAGGAGATAACGTGACTTGACTTATGACCACAATTGTGCCCAAAATTTATGTGATGACCCAAAGGGGCGTGGCACAAAAGCAACAAACTCACAAAAATAGGTAAAGTCCCTTTAATTCCTCTAACTTGGCCTCCAATGTCCAGTTATCTTTGGCTGGAGAAAAAAAAAACCCTCCCAAGAACAGTTTTTAAAGGGAAGAAATTCAGTCGAACCCAAAATTAATCTAGATTATAAATAAAAACCAACACAAACCACGCTGCAGCCATTAATGAGACAGGGCAAGATAAGGAATTGCAGACTTCAAAAGATAATGAAACACACACAGTTGGGAGGACGCTAGAACCCAGATAAGACTTAACAAACAAAGATAATACAAGCTTTGCTTCCAGCAAGGTGCTATGTGCAAACCCCTTCTTTATCCTGTTTCCCCAGCTGCAGCTAATGGAGAGGATCAGGGCCCTTTCCTCCCCCGTAAACTACATAACCCACCTTGCTCCCTTCTCCGTTCCTCCCTGCGTGCCCTAGGATGAAGAGGGGGTGGCCCTGGGTCTTCCTCTGAATGCCCAGCCAGACTGTGCCCTTCCCCAGTTTCCTCCACAGCCACCAGAGCCACACTCCCACTCCCTGGCAGCTGCTCGTCCTCCCCCTCAGAATCAGATTCCAACAGGGGGCATGGCAATTTATGTTGCTAAGTGAGAAATTTGTTAAGTAAGTTTTGCCCCATTTTACAACTCCCCCCCCCAAAAAAACAAGCAAGCTCTGAGAGCACCAAGGACCCCTCATTTCAACCCTGAGCTATTAATATTTTCCTTTATTGGTACAGGACTTGAACTTACTGTCTCCTGGCTTGTAGCTTGGTGTCCTAATCACTAGGCCAAAGTGAGCCTCAAACCTAAAATTCGGTTTAATGTCTGTAGAGATTCTCTGTCATCCATGTCATGGCTGTCCCCAAAGGTTTTTATTCTGGAGGCAACTGGACTTTCTAGTTTTTTAGATAACAGAGTTGGAAGGGACCTTGTAGGTCATCTAGTCCAACCCCCCGCCCAAGCAGGAGACCCTACACCATTTCTGACAAATGGGAGTCCAATCTCTTCTTGAAAGTCTCAAGTGATGGCGCTCCCACAACTTCCGAGGGCAACTTCTGTTCCATCGGTCGATTGTTCTCAACTGTCAGAAAGTTTCTCCTTATTTCCAGGTTAAATCTCTCCTTGTTCAGTTTCCATCCTTCCTTTGAAGACATTCCAAGAAGCTTCTTTAGCTCTGACTGGATGCTGAGGAATGGAGGGATTTATATTTCTTGCAGACAGTTGTTGTTTTTTAAAATAAATATTTTATTGAACGAAACAATTAAAAACATTGAACATGGTCAGGTCGGTTTGACATAATTTTGGGTCGATATCGCATATATATATATATGTATTTTCCTATAAACAATTATCCAACTATATACATATATCCATTTGTTCATTCATATATTACATTTCTAACATCCTTCGTCTTTTTTTTATCTCATCCAATCATTTACTCTTTCTGCAACTCCTTTCCCGACTTAAGACCTTCCTCTCTGCTCCCACCAGTGATAGAATTTATTCCAAATCGCATAATATGCCGATTCATCTTTGTTTTCCATTTCTAGCGTTAACTTGTCCATTTCAGCGCATATCAAGATTTTGTTTATTACTTCTTCTTCACTTGGTATAATTGTCTTTTTCCAGTTCTGGGCAAATGCTAGTCTTGCTGCAGTAATAATGTGTATAATCAAATAAAGCTCATCTTTCTGGTATCTTTTTTGACATCATTCCTAAGAGAAAACATTCCGGTCGGTGATCTACTTTAAAAACCAACATTTCCTCCAGCCGCTTACCCGTCCTAAGCCAATATTCCTGCCAGGGGTAGGATTCAAATTTTGTAACAACCGATTCTGTGGGCGTGGCTTAATTTGTGGGTGTGGCTTGGTGGTCTTGTGACTGGGTGGGCATGGCTTGGTGGTCACGTGACCGGGTGGGGCATAGCTTGATAGCCATGTGACTGGGTAGGCGTGGCCAAGTGGCCATTCGACTGGCAAATCAAATACAAGTGGTCCTCGCTTAATGGCCGGTTGCTTAGCAAGTGTTTTAATTTATGACTGATCTCCCCAGAACTACCTGACCTCTTTTTGGAGTTTTGACAGCCATGCACACACACACACACACCCTTCTAACCCTGCTATTCTTTGAATGGTGTGGAAGTATGAATGGATTTCTAGAAGAAGAAAAAATGCAGACTACAGGAACCATTTGCACCACTCAGGTGACCCTGAGGACACAGATAAACCTGCAGGTGGCCTCTACGACCCTCTAAAAAGGATGCAAATGACCAGCTCTCTGCAAGGAATATAAATCCTTCCATCTTCCACCATCCAATCAGAGCTGAAGAAGATTCTTGGATGAGGAGCAAGACGTCTTCAAAGAAAACGAGAAGTCCAAGCACCTCCAGAATAAGCAAACTAAAATTTGGGTTGCTTCAGCCACCCAAATTTATTCTGCAGGTACAGATTTCCACAACGGTTCAACGTACTCAGGGGGGAGAATGAGTGAAGTAGACCACTGTCAATATAAGATCTATTTTAGGGGCTCCAGGGCAATCAAATGCACCTAGCAAGCAGTTTTTGCAAATTTATCTTTTTTTCAAAATGTTGTATGTTCAAAAAACATACCTCTTGGCCTGCCTGCAGCCAAGAGAATAGCAAGGTTACTCCAGCAAACAGACTAAATGGGTTTAAGGCC